GTGTTGAAATAAGTCTGCAGTCCTGAAGGAATGAACATAGAAAATAAAGGCTTCGGCATGCATATTTACTGTTTTTCTGTATTCCCTACAATCTTTTAATCATGCAATCACAGATGTTTCTCTCTTCCATTATCTTGACATTACAGAAGGTAATTTTAAGTAGAAAGTGTACTACTTAGGAGTCAAATTCTTAGCTGCACTACATATTTCCTGAATAACTTTGAACAAGACATCCACACGGACGTGGAAAATGTTATATATAATGTCATACGTCCTGAAAAGGCTGTTAAGCACTTGTATATCACAGAGACAAAGCTCATACCAACATCTCTGCAGCAGAAGAAATACGTGTGAGATAAAATTGGACCTTGAAGGAAAGCCTTGAACAGAAATACAAGGTAAAACATCCAAATAAACTACTACCAACTGAACCTTGTGGTTTTTTTTTTTTTTTTTTTTTTTTTTTTTCCCAAATGTAGTTTTTTTCAGCTTTAATACACTTGTTTCTAAGTACGGTCAACTTACAAAAAAGAGGCAAGTGTTTTTGAAAGCTTTGAGGATGCACGAATTACTTCTCCCGTGCAAACAGTATTTCCTTGTCCTTGTTTCCAGTAGGTGTGTGAAACTTACTTATGGCATTCAGGTGCAGCTGTTTGGAACAAAGTCCAACGACTACACAGGAGAACATCCTTCATATTCAAAAAAATTTGTGAGCTCAAAGGAAGTGTTAACAATGAAACAAAGAGCCTTTCTTTTAGGATCCTCCAAAGACAAGAAGAATATGCTGCCTGCTTAAACAAAGCAAATGGTAGATCCAAAAAAGGTAACCTTTACAGCACAATAGTTCGTTAAGCGCAGCTTTGCCTACATGCTTTCATCACTGCTGATGTGGTAACATAAAAGATTTGTTAACCATAGGTTAACTCCCTCTTCCAAATGTCTCCAGGCTTTTGAGCAATTCAACTCTCTGGAGCTGAGGTGTTTTTGGCTCCCAGTGAGTAAGCTCTGAGGGCTGGAAATGTAACTGGATATTTTCTACAGAGTTGTAGCAGCACTGCTGGGGACAAATAAACTGCCAAAAGATGCTTTTTTTGTTGTTTAGTTTCTACGGAGGCTGAACTGACAACAAAAACTGAGATATGGACTTTATTGAAGCCGTGAGTGTTTGTAACTCCTGGGAAAATCTGGGTAAAAGTTTTGTCCATGACATTACAGATCAGGTACTAAGATCCAATTTATAAAGTGAATTTGGACTGAAGACTTAATTTCTTTTCTTAACAAATCAAAATCTGAAAAAAACCCATATCTGAATTCATTAAGAAAAAGGGAGAGAGGGACAAAAAAGGTGTTTAAACCAGTTTTTATAAGAAGTACTTTCTCATGTACAAAGGTTTTTCTCAAAGTATCATCTTACTCTAAGGCTCAGCAAAAACAGAAGAAATAATTTCATTTTGCAGTGTGAAGTAAGACAACTTTTCCTGCTGCCGAGATCTGCAGTATCACCTAGATGCATACTGCCAGTAGGGCAGGGATGTACCTCCCTGCAAAGCATCAGATAGTGGTCACGGCTGAGAAAAAAAGGCTGGTGATAAAAAATTGTTCATCTGATAAAGGCAACATACCCCCTAAGCAATCCTCTATTAAAATGTGTTTCTTCAGGTAATAACCAGTGCCTTTTTCTGAGATTATCACCAGGAATTTAGAAAAAAAGGGCTGTACAGAATTGCAGTGAGGAAGAATAAAAGAAACAAACAAGGAAATGTCAATTAAGATTAATAAAGTAATACCTGAAGTGACTGGCTTGGCAGTCAAGTGTTTCCTTTCATGTTTTCTGGATAATTCATTTCTTTGAGATGAATACAGTGATGGAATTCAAGAGAAAGGGGAAGTAATGAATGAAAAAAATAGACTTAGAAAGTTTCTTTCCTGCTTTTAAGGATTTTATAAATTAACTTCAAATTATTCTTAGTCACGATGACAGATCTCACACCCAGTAAAAGAGATTGGGGGGAAAATTCAGGCACCTGAGAGGATCTTGCTGCCTACATACAGGTTCTATCTGGTGGTGGCACCTGAGATCTTCACAAGGTTTCAGAGAAAGAGGAAGGGAATATGGGAATGACTCTAGTTGTCTGGAGTTGAAAGGTCCCTTCTATGGAAAATGATTATGGATTTCAAGTGTAATTATCTTTGAACACAATATGCAAACAGTCTGAGAGAAGAAACCAAAACAAGGTGTCTCCTGTGCCTCCTTTCCCAGACAGCATCCTTCATCACCCATGATTACTCTTCCCTTCTGGCTCTGCTCACCTCTTTCAGCACAGTGGCACAGTTCATGGTGGAGCTGGAAAAAGCCCCATCCTAGCCTAGCCTACGGCCTGGTATAAGATCTGGGTTTGAACCCCTGAGGCAAGGAATCCACAGATCCGAGGCTCCCAGGTCTCGGTGTTGATTAACCATGGGTTATTACCTACAAAGACAGCACATTGTTTCACCATTTTTTCCACTGAAAAAGCTGGCTGCTGGAACTGTTAGCTGGGAGCCTTGCAGGATACACGATGACACACAGGGAGATGGAGACAAGGTCCTAATGGTGTGAGACAAATGTGTGGGGAATTCAGGTGTCTGAATTCCCCCGTGAAATGGGAAATGCATTTTCCTGCATCTTACCTATGATGTGTGCCCACTGTTTTCAGGGAAGGGGTAGGAAAAATAAAATTGAAAGACTAACTAGCTAATGCCACTCTTATCCATGCTTAGAAATAAAGTGAGGTTCATTACCTGCCCCCATCTGTCCCTTGAAAAGAGACAAATTAGGAGAAAATAAGCTACTTCAGCTTGGTATTATTATTTCCTTAATTTATGTGGCATATGACTGTGGCATTTATTCCAGATATGTGTGGGAAGAGACACAACTGCTTACAGCAGTACAGCCACAAATCTTAAAGAAATAAACCTATGAGGGTCTAGAAGACTGGAAGGAAGATAATAGAAGGTCAGTAGTTTTAACAAAGAAATATCACTGTTATGATAGTGAGAGGAGATCTTGGCCAAGTGAAATACAGTCATGTAGCCAGACATACTACAACTACAAGACATACTCTGCATGCCTGAATCAGGGACTGGGAGAAGAAAGCAGACTATTCCTGACTTAGGGAGAACACCATCGCTCCTCAAGGAGTGCCTAGAGTACTATGAATATTAACACAAGTCCATGTGCCATAATCTAAGTGCTCTCTTATAAGGCTGGTTGACACCCTCAGATCTTGTATCTCAGACACTACTTCAGATATTTTCTTTGAAGCATGACTCTTCTGCATAATATTAGTGAGGGAAACTTTCACCAGCCTAGTCAGAAAGAGCTTCAAGAACTTGTAGGCTTATCCGTGCTTATGTAGTTGTCTTCTCAGCCCTTGGGACAGTCTGTCAGGAGAAGGACCCGAGTACTTTCTTTCCTTTCTAATTCAGCCTGACTTTTTCCTTTCCCACAGAAAGAAAAGCTGCCCAGAGAATTTGTGGATGCCCCATCCCTGGAGGCATTCAAGTCAGGTTGGATGGGACAACCTGATCTAGTGCTTGATCTAGCAGTTAGCAACCCTGCCCATGACAAGAGGTTGGAACTAGATCATTTTTGATGTACCTTCCAACCTAAGCCATTCTATGATAGAAAAAATTAAGCTGAAGAGTCTAGTCATAGGAAAAAGGAGATGCATTTTGGAGCAGCTATCAGCAAGGGATGGGTTCCTGCTACTTGTACTACAAGGAGGTCTTCTGACGGGCACACTAATCTGGGGTATTTCTTTACCCCTAGAAATTCATGTAACCTGTGCCCTCTTGTCTTTATTGCAAGGGCCCATGTTTTTCTGTCTTGCATTGTTTAAAATAGCCCATTATTCTTCAGCTCCTCTTTCTGGAGCATTGTCTATGGTTGAATGACCCACTGTTTGTTTATGCAGAAAACCACAGGGAAGAGGGCCAAGGATACTTCAGTATTTACATACCAAGATGTAACGGCCTTGTGTTGCCTGCAGATATATCTATATCAGCACAAGCCCAAGGTCAGATCTTGTTGATGAGTGGTATTTGTGAGCTCTTGTTATGTGTATACACGCACTTTCAAACTGCATTAGGCCTGCCACAAACTGTTTACAAGAGATTGAGCCCATGGTGAATCAGCCCTGCAAGCAAGTTCTGCTCTGTTCTGCTCCCCTCATTCTGCCTGATACTCCTGGGCTGTGTGAGGCAGAAATGCCTCTGGACATAGGCAGTGCTTTGCCTATGTGATCAAATCAATGTGATATGGGGATCAGGTGGGATTCTGCAACTGGGGGGACAGGACAAAGGGAAGTCATTAGCTCTACATTTGATAAATCAATTTGTTAATTCGGGATCAGGTGGGATTTTCCAGCATGAGAGAGAGGACAAAGAAAGCTCATTAGCTGTATTTTAAATAAATCAATGTTTCACTTGGTGCAGAATTCTCCTTGAAATGTAGGGCAGGACAAAACGGATCAGATACTTTTAACTGTGACTTGAAAATACATTTGACATAGAAATAAGAAAAGCTTAATACTTAGTGCTTGTATATTTTTCTAGGTATTCATTAGCAGAAAACAAGTGTGGCCAGGCTGGAATTCTCAGAAAGATTTAAGGAAACAAAGAGAAAAGACCTGTGACATGTTCAAGGAAATAAAGAGGAAAGGTTATTTCATCTGTGAGTGGCTCATCATATCAGGCAAGTTAATTTCAAAACATTACAGCATTCAGAACCACTAGACATGTCTGAAGGTTAAGACCTAGCCTTCTACCTGACCCTGTTGCAGGAAGATATCATCTACAAATCATGACAACTTCTGCCAGGTCTCCACTGCAATAACATTCACTAGGTGCTGAGTTCCTCTCACCTGTGGCATATCAGGACAATGTTATCTCGTAGTGCAGATCTCACTGCCCAGAGTCCACTTCTCACTTGTGCAAGGTTGTGCAACCGTAGTGATGATGGCTGATCTGTACAGGTCCTGCTGAGGCTGGTGTGACTCCATGGCCAGCGTCATTTGTCTGTGTGCTTTTACTGATGCAGCATCTGAAAGCAAAATGTTATCTCAGTAAGAGAAGGATTTGGGCACATTAAAAAAAATAATGCTCAAATGATCACATCTGACAATATTCAACCTATTAACACTTCAAGGCTGAAATGGAGGACAGCAATTCAAAGCCATGAATTCACATTATAGAATACCAAGCACTACATGAAGCCAAAGACTTTGCTGTAATCAGTACCATTTTTTCTCAGCTGCATTGTGCATTAAGAGCAGCTCTTTGAGACAGCAAGAATAACCGGCTGCTTTTCTCTTTCCCTTGTGTCAGTTTTTCCCTACCTACCCTTCGCAGAAGGAGACTTGCTTACTACTGATAACCCATCTTGCTTGGCTAAGCCTCCCAAGGGAGGGTGCATCTCCTTGTGCTGTGTGCCACCTGTACAACGAGAGGCACATGATAATTACCTTCTAGGGAGGCAACAGCTCATCTGTGTCACTGTCACATCTGCCTGTGGCTAATAGGTGTGCAGCATTTGCTGTGAATTTAAAATCTGCCCCCTTTCAAAGGTCAGAAGATCAAAAGTTCAGCTCTCGTTGGGAGTTGCCAAGAGAGCCCACGCTGGTGCTTGCTGCCACAGCAGGCTCCTTCTGTGCAGCAGCAAGAGATCAGCAGCAGCTCACTGCTGTTTTCAACAGACACATAAAACTGGAGACCCAGCCAGCTGTAGCAAGAAATAATAAAGATATTAAGTTTACATACAGTCTTCAAAAATTTCCTCCAAGAGTCTTCAGTTTATTTTCTCACCTCAGTGTGAGGCTCAGTTTTAAGAACATGGCTGCCAAAAGAGCGACTTACCCCACGGCTTAGATGGGCCGTTGTGATGGATAGCGGATACTATTTCAACAAAGACACAGCGCCTCGAGTTTTAATCTCTATGTAAACTAATAGAACCTGGATCATCGTATTTTTGGCCCCTCTTTTACGAGTAAATTCTCAATACCCACTAGAAAAACATGTACTGATGGCTTACAATGCTACTCTTCATATAAGAGGAGAGTCATGTGGAGTCCAAGCACAGCAGCATCTTCAGAGGTTCAAAAGTCAGCAGTGAGATTGAGTTTGTGCTGAAACATGACCACATGCTCTGAGACAAAGAGCAGTCTTAGTTTCCAGATACGTCAGTAAAAGCATTAAACTCAGTCTAAATTTCAAAATGCAAATAAAAAGAATGTTCAGTATTGAGACAGTTTTTTTTTCTTGCAGCAGTAACCTTACATTTCATTCTTCCAACTGAAGATCCATGATTTGACACCCAACCACAAAAGTGTTCTGTTTTTTGTTGTTATTGTTTTTTGTTGGTTTTGTTTGTTTGTTTGTTTTTTTTTTTTTTTTTTTTTTTTTTTTTTTTTTTTTTTTTTTAGTACTCAAATAAACAACACTGGCTTATTTAAGCATCGTTTTCTGTTTGATTTAAGAAAAAAAGGGGAAAAAAGTTGCTCTTGGACCCCAAGAGAAAGTCTGTTTCTTGAAAGCACCAAAAAGGAACTAATGAATGGAAACAATGCTGGAGCTGTTACTCAGCCACATTAGCTTGCTTTCCTCCTCCAGGGAAGTGCAGCACTTCGGCTGCAGTGCAGAAGAACATTAGTCAGCAAAATGCTCAAGTAGGTACTTGAGAGCTATTAGCATAATTGGGACACAAGTGTATGATTGAAGTTAACTATCATTAAAGTTGTTTCTTGAGGAGGAATGGATTGATGCAGCTATTTAGGTAATTTTGAGCATCAAGGACAGAATATTTGAGTAATTTGTATAAATTTACTCACTGGTTTTATAGGAAACCACCATTTCTGATTTCACAAGTCCCAATCTGATCCCCTCAAATGCCTTAAAGCTTGTCATACTTCTTGCTCCACTACTAACACTTCCTATTTTCTGTACATTTTCCTGTGAAAATACAAACAAGGGAAACCTGGGCCCTTGCACTCTGGGCCCTGGTGTAACTTCATCCTCGACTTCACCTGGACATCCACTTCGGTGATGTAAAGCTCCTGAATAGCTTCAAATTTGCCTTCAGAGTGAGTCCACCTGGAAGAAGCAAGGGTCTGTTTTTGTTTCTTCTTTGTGCAGTGTTAGCAGAGGCACACTGGCAGTGGTAGCTGCCACTTTGGAAGATGTATGTCAGAGGAGGAGAGGCAGGAGAGCATCCTCCAACCTATTGCTTAATGTGTTTTCATTCAACACTAGACATATCAAAGAAGTATATTTCCCTCCAGTTGGTGAAGCTTGTTTGACTCTCACAGCTGGGGCCAGGAAGAGTTTTCTGAAGTGCAGCCATGCTCATGCATGATACTTTTTCCTCTTTTATTTTCTTGTTAAGCCAAAATGGTGTCTGTTACAGGAAGTTCATGTAGCCTTTAGTACAAATAGCATTCATGGAAATTGTTTGTTTTCTGTACTACAGCTTTACATGCAAAATTAAACTTCAGGAATTTGTTTTCAAATTTCTAACGCCTAAGGCCTATCTAGAGAAGACAATGCAAAAAAAAAAAAAAAAAAAAAGACAAATAATGATTTCCTCAGAGAACAGGATATAGTTTAATGATGCTACTTACAAGCTCATAAAAGAAGTACCACCATAAGAACTTGTGAGAGGAAAACCTACTGTTACACTTAGTTTTTAAAGCTGGATTTTTAATAAGGTCTGACCATCTCCCTGGGAGAAGGAAAATTTATCCGACCGGGGTAGAAACCAGCCTGACTTTCCTTTTGCTATCCTCAAGGCTGGGCCAGATCCTGGGTAAATAGAAAAAGCCAGAGCACCACTAAAATGAGGAGAGTTGCCCCAGATGAGGTCTGCTCGCTCTTCCCACACCTCCAAGGGCAGGCAGTGGGTGCCTGCTGCTCCCAAAAACCCGCTGGCCTCAACAGCTCCTGTGCTATGCTTTGCTCCGCTCTGTGCAGTCTTTTCTGATAAAGTAATAAACATATCGTAAAACTCTTTTACAAGCCAGGTCTCACTCTCCTCTCCAGCTTTTTCTCATTAAAGGCATTGCTGCTTCAAGGAAGTTCAAGCTGCAGCATATTTAAGATCTGCATTCCTTTGACATGTTTTGAAATTATTTTAAAACAATCGGTAGAAAAGGACCAGGTATGGGGGGCTGAGCACTTCAAAGGGAAAGCAGATCACTGTGTGAGCCCCGAATTACATAACATGCCCCACCAAGGAAATAAATTAATTTGTTTTCCAATGGCTCATTTATATAACCCTTTAATTATAGCTAACCATATCACCAGCATTATAGCATGGGAAAATGTAATGCTGTTACTCAACCTACCTCTCCGCCCTCTCCAGACCGACAACACAATCATTAAGCAGCAAATGCATGTTGGGACATCGCCTGCTCTTTTGTCTTTCAAAGATATAGTTCAGTACTGTGGGTATGAAAATGTGACCTCAACAATAACTCTTTTTCTAGCGCTTTTTGATGTTCCTAAATTCCATCTCCCAGTTAGATCATAAAAGCAGAACAGCATTTGACCTGCTTGCAACACTAAAAAGAGTATTGTTTTAAAATTCCCTATTTTCCTAGTCAGCACAGGTCAAACTCTGCAGTTGAGCTCTGATAACTGCGAGTGCAGCTGCGTCTATGCTGGGTTTTCAGATCTGGTGTGTTTAGGTAGCTCTGTTGACTTCAATTAAAGCATTTCTAATTGTTTCTAACTCAGTACACACCAGCTGAGTCCAGCTGAGGCACAGTGTGATAAAGCAGCTTGCTGCAGCTCCTTCAAGTCTAGTGAGTGGTACATATTAAGAGTTACTAGGCCAAACCACTGTGATGGCAACAGTAACAGAAAGATTTTTCATGTGACTAATATCAGAATTTTCTTAAATTAAAATAATCAAAACAGCTGGTTCTATCCATCTTCAATCCACCTCAGAAGACAATATGTGAAGGCTAATATGAAAAATAATCTCCTGATACTAAAGATGACTGTGGCACATGGAGAATCCTATAATTTCAACAGTGTGGTTGCAAGAAGGTTTCATTGTAAATCACAGAAATTCTTCCTTATGTTATTATGTTTGAGTTGACTTTTAGTACTCAGGTTGGTGGAATCTTTCAGGTATAATAACTTTCTTTCCATTGAAAGATATCTTGGTAGCTTAGCAGCACCGTGATGTCAATAACTTTGTTGAGATACAAAGATTATGCAACCTAATGCTAGACTAGCCAGCCAACTTAGCTGAATATCAACAATCTCATATGTGACAAAATTAGAACAGATCATCAGGGATGCTGTGGAATTTCCTTCAGTAGGACTCCATCCATCAAGCTGGCTGTCTTCCTAACAGATAGCTTACCATGCTAGCGTGCTCAGCACAAGAGCTGTGTTAGGAGTTCTGCGGGGACCTCGAGACCAGCCTTGCAGGTTCCAGGCTCCCTATTCAAGAATCTACAGTACTCTGTCTGAATTTAAAAAAGACCTAGAGAAAAAATGCAGTATACACAGGAATGGCCCAAAAGAAAATTCCTTAATTAGCTTGCTAAACAATTCATCTCTGTATTTGTTTTTCATTTAAAGATGACATAAAAAGAGTTTTAGCAAACTATTCCCATGTAACTTGGTGCAGAGGGAGCTGAAGTAATGCTATAATTTTATCTACTACGCCCTTTGAAGCAATGTTTCATCGGTCATGTCTGTGATGCCTGAGGATAGCCTTTAGACCAAGTTATGTGCTCTTAAAAACAGATCAAAGGAAATTTGGTCATCTCCTTCAAAAGGCAGCTGTTCTCCTCCCCATTTTCATAGAGCTGCAAAATGAACCAGGGCATAGCGTTGAGGAACATCTCCTCTAGTTCTGTGTTAATGCTTTGGTTTGACACCTCAGTTTTTTAGATAGAAATATATTTTGGTCTAGCGGTGGGCTAGTTTGCACATAGCAGGGGGGTTGAAACTAGATGATCATTATAGTCCTTTTCAACCCAGGCTATTCCATGATTCCATGTGAATGATCCTCAAGGGAGCTACAGTAATTTAATCTTAGTCCTGAACTAAGGGGGGAGATTGGATTTTTCTAGAAAAAGTGCTGAGTTTGTATCAAGCGAAAATTAAAATTTTAAACCTCATGTTAGCTGCTAGTATTTGCAGGGCATTATAACTCATTTGTTATGATTGAAGAGACACACAATTACACAAGAATCTTAGATTGCAATAAATAAACACGTTATCAGCCCTTGGGATGGTAGAAAATTCTGTCAAATGTGACTAATGTCCATGTACCCAACAAGTTAAAAAACAAGGAACCTCAACTAGGAAACAGTATTTCTGAACAATGTATTATAACCTTATGATTTGGCATTGAGACCTGATTTTGAACAAAACAATTAAGGCTTGCTGTGGTAAAATCTATACAGCCCAGCACACTTCTTGCTCCCATTTGGCCAACATTTTGGATGTCATTTTGATTTACACAAAACAGGGAATAATGGCAGTGAGATGAGGGGAATAAGACTGGTCTAGAGAAAACAATAACCAGTTATAATCCAAAAGCCAAATTCCTCAATCTTTAGAAAGTTTACTTAATATGCTTTTCCTGGTTTTGGCTGGAAATAGTAAAGTACCTTGAAAAATACTCTTTCCTGTATTTGATTCAGCTGAAGCCAAGACCTACAAGAAGAAATCTCTGGGTTAAACAGAACTAAATCTACAAATCGCCTCCTTTTAATGGCTGTTTGTCTGACATCTTCCCCAGGATCCTCTGATCAGAGGCAGCATATAGTTAGAACACTGCATAAAATGATTCAGTATCATTCAAAGCCTTTTTAAAGCAATGTTTCTCATTCAGAGAGGCAAGAACTGCAAAGCTGATTCTTTGTGAAGCCTGGGAAACAATATGCATAGCATTAAACAACCAAAATATACTTCATAAAACAAGTTTCTGCTGTAGAGCCTCAGAGCACTCTGGGCCATAGCAGATGACCTCCATCTTTTCCACGTCAGCTCAGGATCATCCAGGCTCAGCCAGCAGAAGTTCTGCAGCAAGACCAATCCACCACTGAGCTTTGGTCTGTGTTAGCATTTATCGCTGCCATGCAACTTGGTTGCTTCATCCTATTTCACAGCGTCCTTGATTGCGTTTGAGTGGGAGCTACGATCAGGTAATTGGCAGGCAGATGTTACCTCTAATATCCTGCTCTTCCAAGAAAATCAAAGAAAATGTCAGCCCCCTGAATAGTCTTTTAGCTACCCAGGATCTATCAAAAAATCTGGACAGACCCTATCACCTGAAAAACATGGATAAGGTCGGGCATGCCCACTTGTTTGTTCTAATTTTTGTGGGTAGAACAAACCATTTCTGCAGGGTAGCTGTACACTGCTGGTTGTGCAGAAGGGCTGGAATTTACTCACCAGGACATAAACTTCTCTAATAGGAGTAATGCCCCCACAAGCTTTTCTGGCTGCCAGTGATGTGAAAGCCTATTGGTCCTGGATAGTTTTTGCAACTGTTTGTACTTCAGGAAATCAGTGTGCTGCACTACCATTTGTAACTAACATAATTTTATCTCCACTCTCTGACCACTTTCTGGTAATGCAGCATAGTTACACTGCTGGTGAAATGCAGGGAAATGGGGATTTGCAGTCCACTATGCTGCAGCTAATGAAGTTAACAGGGAAAAACAAAAAAACATAATCCTGTATTTGAAACTGTTTGGTTATGCAGCTGCAAAAACAGTACATGGAAAAAAAGTGAAATGTTTTAAGTTTCATTAACAAGAAAAAATGGAATAATGTTTTCACTGACTGAAAATATTTAGTTAAATTTTCCAGAAGGAGAATCTTTTTAGCACAGAAATGCCAAAATCAGATCCTCGTGGACAGAATTTACCAATTAATTGATTCTTTTCCCATTTTTCAGAGAAAACTTTCTGACATTTTCAGCCAGCTCATGAAAAGTCCAAAAACAAAAAGAATTGAGGAGTGCAGGCTTTCCTGTGTACATCCTTGTGCTGTTGAAAACTCAATTTTCTGTTAATAGGAGTTTTGATCAGCTCAAGAAATGCTGGCACTCTGTATCAACACCACTGATGGGTCTCATCCTATGTGCAGCTCCTTTAAGGCAGCTAGGAGCCAATGGCAAAGACACCAGCAGCTACGAGACACACACGCACCTCTGCCAAGGTGGAACACTTGCCAAAGCTTGCTTTTTCCCCTGATTTTCCTTAGTACAAAACACCCCTCCTATAGCAGAAGTGGTTACATAGACAGCAAATTTCTACCAGCTGAGGTTCTGGCCCTGTTTTAGCCTTCTTGGCTTATTTTCTGGCGTGTTGTTGCAAGAGGGCTGGGATCCTGCCAGCTCAGGGGTGAACAGAATAGCATTCCTGGACTCTTAGCAGTGTTGACCATTGTATTGATGTGAATACACAAAAACCTTCAAAGGCAGAAAGGTGACTCCCTGTCATGTGCAACACTCCTTCTAGTCCTTTCAAGCCACAGATCATCAGCATAGTCTGTACTTGAACCCAGGGCATGCCACTTTCTCCAGTGAACGAGTGATGGAGATTATTATAGTGAATAGTAACAGTAGATGAGGTGCTATCTCCCCCTTAAATTGAGCCATTCAATTTGTCATGAATAGCTGAGTATTTTTTGCTTGCATTTGGGACTTAGATTTCAGTGGTGGGAACAGAGTGAATAGGATCAATGATGAAGCTGACGTACAAAAAGAAGGAGAAGAAAGGGCAAAGGACTAAAGCCAGTAGAGACAAGCAATTACAAGGTGTATTAATGTACACTGGGCTAGGCTGGAAAGAGGGAATAACTTATTGTTATTCTGGGGTATTTTTTTCAATGGAGGCTAAAGGGGAGGGAAGTGAATATTTGGTATTTGGACAATTGCAAAGCTCTGCCGGCACAGAATAAAGAAACCTTTTAGGACATGGCAGCTGCCTCTGAGCTTCAAGCATGGTACTTGATACCACAATCTACCCTCCTCATGCTTTTTGGCCAGCTTTAGAGAATAGCAAGGCAGCATTCACAAGGAAGACAATGACAAATGTCAAGAAATGGAGAGGAAATGTGAAGTTTAAAAGACTATTGAGTGACAGGCAGGTTAGATCAAAGGGAAACATTGACCAGGTATTTGTAATTGCAATGCTAATAGAGGTTAATCATGGAAAGCAGAGCTACAGAGTGAATGTCTATTCAATCTCAAAGTATACACATACACACATATATATTAAAATACACATGCATAAATTCATGCAAATATACTTATGCATTATTTTGCTTCAATAACCAGCTGGTCACTCAGCCAGTCACCTTCACCCATTCTTGTTTCTGGAGCTGTTAATGGAAATTGTGCAGGCAGAGCATTTGAGCATTTGCTGTCTGAGGCATGCCATACATGGTATCTTGGAAAGAATGCACAAGATGGTGCTTGTATATAAATCACTGGAAAAGAAAAGTCAGTGCAAAACCTAAAACTGTGCCCTGCAAGAATGCATTTGTTTTCTTAGATTTAATGTAGAGAACAAAGAGTGTTTATTATATGACTTTAAAAACAGAATTTATATTTCCATTTTACTGATTTTGAGATCTGTATTTCACAGGAAATCAGTACCCAATTACATGACTAAAAGAGCATTGGCTTTTCTAAAGGTTGTACTGTTCCGTGAACTCAACTTTGAGCACTTTTGCTTACCAGCTCTTTTCAGTCTTATCTCTCTCACAGACGTGCTCTCTCTTGTTATCATTCTTCCACAAATTCCCTTTCTATGCTACACAAAGATTTCAAAAAAACAAAAACATTTCCTTTGGGAGCCTTTCCATACTCATTTTAAGAAAAAGCCATTCTTGTTTGCCTTTCGTGGCATGTAGCAGACCCAGCTGTGTGCTGCAGCAAGTACAGCTACAACAAGACTTAACTATGTCTAGAATAATTCCTAATACCACAGCTATGTCTGATTTTACCAGCAAAACCATTCTGATGTCATGTACTCCAAAATCTTGAAAAAGAAATGTTAATATAACAAAATACCACACACAAACTATTAATGAAAGACGAGGTGAATAACTCTGTGTACACATCCAAAACTCTTCACCTAAAGTCTGCCAATGATGATTTTGCTTTTTTCTTTCTTTCTTTCTTTCTTTCTTTTTTTTTGCCAAGAAATCAGCCGCAGAAAGAGAAGCTCTTGTGATGTGTCTGGACTAATTCATGAAATTATAGGGTCTCTGTCAGGAGTTTCGGGAACATGTAATATAAATAATAGCAACTTTAAAAAATGCAGTATGTATCCAGTATCCAGAAAGGTTTTTCTGTTTATGGACAATAAGCTACTCGGTTTACCGTCTTCAGAAAGCAGCTTTGTCCATGCATTGCAATTACATTTTTCTTTAACTATAGAAAAGACAGACAATATGTATGCAAGAAAGGAGAAGATGGTAGGCAAGAGAAAGAGGTATCGGCATGCAGCTACAGTAGAGATGTATACATTCTTCCCTGTGGGCAAAGGATGCTTACATTGAGAGCTATCAGTTATGTTGATGCCAATGCCACTCATCCCCGCACCTGGGAGTACTCCGGGCAACAGTTGGTTGGGCAGGCTGCCAAAACTCTCCCCCAGACAGCAGGACAGGAACCTGGAAGAGAGTGGAAAGATGAGGTAAGGTGCAGCCCTTAGCCAGAGGCTGGAGGGGGCCTGGTGCCCCGGTGGCTGCGGCTGCGTGGGGAGCAGCGTGCATTTTGGACAAGTCTGAACAGCTGCTGCAGGAATGCTCACCTCAGTGCTTCCTTCTGCAGTACTGGAAGGAAGAGGAATAATGGGGAAGAGGGTGGGTGGCAAAGAAAGAAGCACACCCACACACACACCAAAATTTGTTTTGGGTGTTCACTGTGAAATCACAGCGAAGATCCTGTGGACTGCTTTATTACATCTAGATGAGGAAAAATACAAGGTATCATTTTTTACCTTGCAGTCATCCTTCTACGTTATTCTTTTTCATGGATATTTCAGCATGTATATAGATCAGAAATGTCTTTTAATGATTTTAAAAGAGTAAAAGTGGCTCAAGATCATAATATTCGAGTTTCTGTCTGGAATAGGAGTAGGTTAATACACAGAGGTGTAGGTCCGAGGCTGGAGCCAGACTCACATTTGGGTCTGTCAGCACAAACATCCCATGAATAACTGAGCCAACATTTAGCCCCAGCAGTGGAAATATTGTAAGTTCATTTGGAGGCAGTCTGGTCTTGCAAAAGCTCTGCCATTTTGGACTGAGTCCAAAAAGCAAGCAAAAGGAGGCCCCTGGATGTTTTTTATTATTATTATTCTTATGATTTGAATAAGCACATTGTGGGTTCTAAACAAGCTTAAATCTGGGCAGACATGCCAAAACAAATCTACCCATCATTCTACGAGCCAGGAAGATAAGAAACTCCAGTTTGGTCCCTTCTCTACTTCAGAGATACCTATCTGAAAGCATGCTCCTTCTAAAAAATGAATTAAGAATTACAACAGCACCTTACCAGGTCTCCTCCCACCAATAAATAAAAATACTACTTGAATTATTTTTCAATAGCTGAAAAGTTAGCCCATGCTAACAGCAGTTTCCATGACAATATTCACTATTTTGCCATCCTGCTCAAGGCTGGCAGTAGGCTGAAGCACAGATTCTTGTATACACAACCTTACTGCTGGCTGGAAACCCTTCTTCCCTTCACAGAGAAGCTGTTTCTGAGCTGAGGTTTCTGTTGGGTGACCATCAGAATCTCTTTGGAAAAGCAGTGTTCTCTGGGAGTTTGAATCTCATTACAGGTGCTTAGCTAACCTTTTTTCCTTCAAACTAATTAGACTTGTGGTTGCTCTTTGGTCATTTTCAAGCATTTGTATTAACAAAAGAGTGGGAATGTGGTTTATCATCTCCCCCTTTTTATCTTATATAACTTTTGGAAGGAAAAGGACTGCAGAGTATATGGAAAATCATGGAATAAAGGAGATGCTGCAACATTATTTCTGATCTCAACCACAAGGTAACCTATTGTTATATACACCCACCTCTCTGCGCACTTGCAGATTGAAAAAGGCTCATGTCTTATTTTGGTAGAAGGTTGCCTAGCTTCCAAACAACATCTATACATCAGGCACTGCTCATAAGTAGGGAGGTGAAGTGCCACTGAAACCTCAAGCAGTTGATATTAGCTCCCTTTTGTTTCTTTAATAGGTTTTTATTTGGAGCAGTTACATCCACTGGGCAGAGACCCAAAGCTTCTTAATAAAGAGCAGGGCAGTGAAAGCCTATAGCACTGCTTCCCCACAGTCCTTCCATCCTCCTGCAGGCAAAACAGCCTGTAAAGACTAGCAGAAAGATTTTTTCTGCGCTTGAATGCACTCTCACAGGTCAGTCCTCCAGAGAGGTGGCACTCTGCAAGGGCTGGTGTAAGAGGAACCTGGAGTGGGAAGGCAAGTCTGGGTGCTGCTCCCTGGTTTCCTTTGCGGATTAACACTATCACCGCCCTTGCAGCACCTCCTGATATCACTGCAAAGCCAACCATGATTACCTCCATCCCCTCTCCATTATTCCTTGCTGCTGCTTATGCAGACAAGCAAACCTGTATGACTTCAAGAATTTCAAATTAGAGAACTGAGTTCCTAATTTCTGTAGTTTCAGTATATTAGCTACATCCTTCTGATTGAAAATTTTGCCTCTGAAAAAACACAGAACTTCTACTTCCCCACTGCTGTTATTCCCATAACAATGTATTTATCACCACCTCAGCAGCTCATTCTGTAATGCAAAAACTGAAATGAGGTGGCCCAGCAGGCTGGGTGTTCATCAGCCTTTCTATTCAGACATTAACTCTGTGAACTCTGCAGATCACTGCAACTCAAAAGCGCGACTGCAGATCAGACAGACATCCCTGATCCAGCTTGTTCAGAGGTGACTGTTAGAGTGCATCTCTATGTATGGGTGAGTGGTAATTAGCCCAAAAGCTTTGCCACTTCTGTAGAACACCTCCCTGAATCTCAATTCCCCTGTCACCACACCAAAGCAATTTGAAGTCAGAGCAGGTATGCCAATGCCTGCCAATCTCTTGACTGAGTGCAGGCTCTACCAGGTCCCTCTGCTCTGACATAAACAGAACTTTAATGTGTGTGAGATCTGAACACGACTGATTAGTCTCTTAAATGTTTTTGAAAAATCAGAGAATTCAAATAGCAAGGAAGGAGGAAATTCCTTGTATCTGAAATATTTCAAACAATAAGAAATATCTATTTTGTTCTGAGGTTAAGATCAACCCCATTTAAAATCCAAGCAAATTCTCCATCCCTGTATGTTACAAAGGGGAAGGATATTTCATCAGCTATGGCTTACCTTGCTCTGCTTTCCTCATCCCCATAATTGCCATCAGTATGGCAACAACTGCCACTATGGCAGCTCAACATGAACTATGAGATGAGGGTAGGAACCTGAGGAATGAGAGATGGATGAAGGGGGAAGTGAACAAGGAAGGAAAAGGGGAGGAGTATGAACATACAGGAAATGGGAATCTAGAGAGCAAGAGTTGGAAGTTGAGGTGTGGGTTGTAACTGAGCCTAGAAACTTAGCTGCCATGTCACCAAGCACCATCAGACCTCAGAAATTTCCATTCTCTGAACCAGTGGTAAACACTGACTGCCTTAATTAACTTTTCCATCATTAGTATGCAACATCAGGGAGGCTGTACAGTAGACTCCTATTAGGCTCTTTACTACATGGTATGAACAAACATAAAACTTGGCTCCCGAAGAGGTAAGACACAAGTCCCATCATACCCACATAATTTTGAAAAGTAGGAAAGGCAAATCCTATTTTGTATTTGCTTTTTACTTTTTATTTATTTGCCTTTGCTTCTTTCCCAGGCACTTTCTTCCTTCTGGGTCAGCCAGTTTAAACTGGAGACTGTAGCAAGAGATCCATTTCTCACCAAACAAACTCCTCTACAGGAAAGCTTGTGTCTTTAAATACATTTTTGAGCAATTCTCTCCCCTCTTCCCCCTTTTGGACTTCAGTTGTTTTATTTGTCAGCTGATAATATGGACAAAATATTGCCTCTCTGCTACAAGGGAAAGTCAGTAAAAGAACTTCTCAGCAGTGATTAGAGAAGCTTGGGAATTCATCTACCTTGGCAGGAAAGTTCCAATTCCTCCACTTTTCTAGGCTTTAATAAATTCCTGCTCTCCTCAGCAATAAAAATAAAAGAAAATCAGTCTCCTGAGGAAAATTTCACTCCAAGATGCTGCGCTATTTCAGACATTCTGAGCTCTCATTGGAGAGAGATGTATAAAAAAAAAATTAACTCTTCCAAAAAATAAGATAAAAATAAACCTATCCTAAAAATGAACTTTCATCATTCTCCCCAATCCTTGTATGGAGTTTCTTTAATGGATGCTTAGTGTGTGGATGAAAAGCAGTGCCCTGTTAAGAGCATAGCATCCTCTGTCTTCAGGGTGCTCCAAGGCTTTCCAAATACAGAAAGTGGATTGTATTGGAGAACTGTAACTTTATAGAATATATACATCTGAAATACCTCCCATGCAACATTCAGATTACTTCCTAAACAGTCTGTAGTTCTAATGCCCTATTTGTTTTGAACGTTTTCTTCTGGGAAGAGCAAGCTGAGGTCTCTGCTCTTCTCACATTCTCCAGCTCAGGTGAGTTTGTGCAGGATGGGGCAGAAGGGTGTCCATGGTTTTCTCATCTGCACTAGTGACAAATCTCCGCTAGCTGGAACAATTCAGCAGTTCTTTCATCATAGAACTGCTGGGACTTTGTAAAGGCCTCCACACTCATAATGTTTCTGAAGCATTTTACAGAACAGGCAATTATCACTGATGGGCAAGCAACCAATTTTTTTTCTTTCATTGACAAATTAGACTGTTTTGAGTAAAGCTGACATAAAAATACATATTGTTTTTGTCTGAATTTGAGGCAAAGAAAGAAAAAGGAAGGACAAAAGTTAATTTCAGAGCAAATTAGATTTTGTAGCTAATCCAAAAGCAAGTACTGTATTCAAGATGTGGGCATTTTTACAAATAGATTTAAAAACGGAATTGAAAGAAGTGTGATGCAGTGTTTCTGGAAAATGCATTTTTGTTATATTGGCCAGGTTTACTCACTCCTTCTCTTCTGTTTAAATGAGGAGAACGTGGGAAATTTCTTTTTCAAGCAGGGAAATACCCAACACTGGAAAGAGCCGGTGTAGCAGTGCAGGATCAGCCACAAGATCTCGCATACTCAGAGCGTGGAGGAGCTGAGCCACCTCATATACCGGCTCATAATACCAGCTGCGTATTACAATTGTACCTTTGGAGCTACACTACTCTTGAACCTCCATCTCAGAACTGGAAGTACAGTTTCAGTTACTATCAACTATCTTTATGAGTAAGAAGTTCACAAGCCAGAGAACTTCTCCACTCAAATTCTAGTAGATGAATTTACTTGAATCAAAATTTGAATACAGCAGTTAGATTTAAAAGAACCTGTACAAGCAATGGGAAGTACAGATGTTATAATATGAGGTATACCAAAGAGCTTGGCACATAGTTATTACACCAAAGCAGAAAAGATAGGATGCCTACCCATATCCTGGGCTCATTTAC